TGGAATTCGTATTTAATTCGGAATCGTATTGTCGATCAAATTTCCTTTTATGGTAATACGACCACATGTATGGTTCCCACAATCAAAAAGAATTGAATTAATGTAGGAGACAAAGAAGAACATTGTTCATTTAATTCTTTTAATAAATCATTCGATTAATCATTACCGTTGTCATTCAGAATATTCAGGACTTGTAGATTATTCTTAATAATAATCTATTAAATAATTGACTTCTATAATCTTTTTCATACCTTGTAATGATATATCCTTGCTAGAAATTTAAGGAAAGATCTTAATTCCTTTTATAAAAATTTGTTATGTATGTTGAAAGATTGATGATCTTTACGAAAGATACAAATCGATCCTCCATCACGCCATAATCTTACAATTGAATCTTAATCCAAAATGTAAGACATCAATTACTTGGAATTTGTCTGCTTTTGGCCGTCATAGTTTAACGCTTGGATTAAATTGGAATAAATATCTCGAAGAGTCTGGCATTATGAATTCTTCATTGAGATATTTATTGGCTGAAAAACCCTTAAAGGATCTTGCACCTACGGCTCCAAACTCGAGCTCATTAGTTATATATATTATTCTGTCAATTTTACAGCCACGAGCTTTCTTAGGCTTGTTTTTTGATTTTGATTTTCGGTCAGTATTACTTGACGACGGTGCGTCAATTCTGTATGCATTTATAAGCTATAGTACAAAATGCGAATTGATGATGATTTATTGTTTATACTAGTGGAAAAATAACTAACCTTTTAATATAAGTATTCAAATGGCCAATTGAATCCATTCATTATTGTGGTGTTTACGAATGTTATGTTTTTCTTCTTTAAGAAATGATACCATCGTTACTAGACGTAAACCATCTAAAGTGTAGTTTTTTGTAATGTCATGAAATAATCGGAACCAAACTCGATCTTTTGTTAATTCTTTCCATCTTGAATTGGTAAATAATGCCTCGATATTCTCATCATCAAAATTCACAATATACTGTATATATGGACATGGTTAATCAAATCATCGTCAGTATTGTGAATGACAAGATAAAAAAGTTAAACTTTGAAAAACTACTATTCATAATCCATGTCTTTGCAAAAATAAAAAAAAAAAATCTACCATTTATCCTGTGCTCAATTTCAACTTCGTGGTTTCCGGGATAGCATCATGAGGATCCTTCTTACCTACATGATCGTTCTAAAATATTAATGTAAGAAAAAAATTTTAATTTCTCATTTCACTTGTAAACATGGATCTTGGATAACACGAACTTAAATTGTAATCCAAATCATAATTATCCTCAATTTCATTAGAAATTGATTCATCGGAGTATGATTCATCAGTGTCGCTTGTACCACACGAGGAGTCTTAAGAATTGAAGAATATCCTTCAAAGGATAATAACACATACCTTGATGTGTATTCCAAACCGCTATCGTCAAATGCGGAAGAGGAGTTCTGCGATTCAGATTCAATCTAGAAAGATAGCATATCAATTGGAAATTGACAATAAATGTTACAATTCACTTTATTGCGATGACCATGCTTGTCTTCATCGAATTTACTGTTAGTGTCCTCGCTCAATATCCGCAATTTCTCAATAAATTTTGTTAACTTTATGCCATAAATATCTATGAAGAAGGCGCTGACCTTATCCACCGGACCCGTAAAATACAAACATTGTGGCACAAAAATATCTGCAGTTTTATAAATTTTTGAAAATAACAAAAAGTTCATAAATTAACGGATTTAACAGATATTTACGTTGCTCAAGTTT